CCTCTCTCTCTCTCTCTCTCTCTCATCCCTTTACCCATTTCTTTCTCTCTACAATCTCTCTGCCTTCCTGTCTTTTTCTCTATCCCTTTATCCATCCCCTCACACTGTCCTTATCCTCTCTCCCCTCTCGTTCCTCCTTCACTCTCTGTTACTTCTCTGTTTGGATATGTTCATCTTTAAAATACAAGTTTTAGTAAACGTTTTACGGTACCTACAACACAATAAGGTCATATAAGTACCGAAGATCAGAGGTGTTACAAGAGAATATCAAACACAAAAACGAAAGAGGAGAGATGGGGACATTAGAAGTTTGATAGGAAACGAGTTGCAAACCACAGCAGAGCACCCGCCAAAAACCTGCATAATGTTTGTCTTCCACCTACCCCTAGTCGAAAGAGAATGTACTGAAGGAGATGGGGCTCTCGTGGTCTTGATCTAGAGGTTATGGTGTTTGCCACTTATTTAATAGGCCCCGAGTTCAAATCTGGACAGCGACGAAACATTTTCTTCTCTAAAATTGTGTTCTTCTTTCACCTCCTTTCCAACTCTCTAACCATTTTCTGTCGTCTGCTTTCGTCTCCAAATCTGCCCCCACCCCTTGTCCCGTTTGACCTTCCTCTGGACTCCTCTTTCTGCAGCCTTTGTGCTGCTTATCCTTGGCTCCTTCTCACTGTCGTCTTTCTGCCACACCCCTGATCTTATGGTAGTTAAGATCTAACACCTAGCCTTTTCGAATGAGTGCAAAATATATCAGAGGTCCCGTGTGCAAGTTGTGCACGTTAAATATCCTTCGGTGGTCCAAAATCGATATGGTAGGCTTCAGTCGCCACCCGGGCAAAATTCAAAATTTCCTTCCAACTTAAAATAAATGTTTAATGTGTCCCGCACGTTCAGATGACCGTATGCAGTTGCAGGTGCCGTAAAACACTTGCCAAAAAACCCCAAAACAAAAAAAAAAAGCTAAAAATCAAAACTGATGGAGAGGTAGAATTATACGAAAGAAAATGTAGGCTACTGAAGAAAAATTCACTCCTACATATTATATAATAGTTAGACTCTTTCACGGTGCGCCTTATAAAGAAGTGCTTTAAAATTCTTGCCTGGAACAAACAATCAAACTTGCTCTAGCGAACACCTGCCCACGACAGTCACCTGTAGAATGAATCACTTTCGGCTGCTCCCCTATCAGATTTCTTTACTATAATGGCACGGTCCAAGAGGACCATAATATGTTTAAAATAATAAAATAATAATAGTGATAATAATAAAACATTTTTTAAAATAGATCAGATCAAAATTTTTAAAATAATAACGACAGCA